AATAAACTGTTCCTCTCTTTTAACCTTTCTAGGTTGCCCAAAGTTTATTTTATTCTCTTTTGTTCGTCCACGTGGAGAAGGGTGGCGCGAAAGTTCTTAACTGGAGTGCATCTTCATATTATTCTGCTTATATGTAAAGTAAGCGAAACGATAATAGTAAGCAGTTGAATAAACGATGAAATTCTAGAAATACAACTTCCGAAACAAGTAAAACATACACGTGTTTTTGGCGTGTGGCTAGTGCACCTGGTTACGAATCGGGAGGTCCATGGTTCGAGACCCCTCTATGGAGAGCACTTTCTTTTTACAAAAAAAAAATGTGCTTTTGCAAATGGGATTAACAGATTAAAGAGTGGATCCAATTAATTTATTTATCTTATTAAAATAAAGGCATAAACTACGACAACCTGCGGGCTTCCACATCACCCAAGAGGTGTTGCCGTCGATGCGTTCCGACGCTGCAGGCCCCAATGTGTATTGCTAGTCGCGCGATAGTTAGCAACACCTACGATTTAGCGCCATGCTTTTGGTATCGCCTAAAACCGGAGCGTTATGCATCTCCCCACTCATCTCTGGTCTTCTGGTCTTCACTCCTCGTACCGCTCACGCCGCGCGATGAACATCTTTTCAACGATCATAGGTCGGCAGCTACCAAGCGGCGCCGATCTTTCCCGAGTCCACCCGATCTCCGGACTCGGCACTGCCGATACCGCCGCCCGGCCCCCTCTTGCCATGATCCTTGGCTCTCGTGGCTATTCCATCGGTGGCTCTCGTCGGCGGGATAGCTCTTCATTTCCCTATACTTCTTATGGAAGGGCCGTCCCGCGGATGCCACGTTACAGTATTAATAATTGCGGCATTATTTTTCAGATATACAGGGTGCTCGTTATGAAACGCACTGTAGTTACATCGTTGCATTCCTTGTCAAATTCTAATGAATACGCATATTTTCATTTTTTATTTTATATATCAAAATTTCGAGATAATCAAGGTTGAAGTTGTAGTAATGCGACCAATCAGAGCGCGTTTAAACGGAGCGTTAGATGACGTCGCGAGTCAGCCTGTAAGACCTGCTTACACTAGGCCAATAACACTAAGAGTATTGTCGTAGTGTCCCTGTTTATCTGCATGTAATTGAGTGAGATACAATCGCTCGCTGTAACGTCAGTGAATTTCAGAAGATACCCTTTATTCCTTATAATGTCTATTCCTTTAATGTGACAAGATAGTTGTACCAACGTATTACGTTTTGAGTGGTCCCGAAAAGGACCCATTTTGATCTACGCATGGCCGAGCTTGGATCCGGACATGCTAATCTGCAACAATGACATACATTTTCTATGATAATGATTATTCTGAAACAGTAAATCTTGTAGAGTACGTAACATTATTATCAGGATATCGCCGATTAGGATACCTTATTGCATATTATTACCTTATAGATTATTCTGTAAGAGAATATTGCGACATGTATTGGGTGTTAGCCCAATGTAATGGCAATCAAACACAAACAGCGCAACAATATGCAATTAGGTATCTTAATCGGCGACATCCTAATAAAAATGTTACGTACTCTACAATATTTACTGTTTCAGAATAATCATTATCATAGAAAATGTATGTCATTGTTGCAGATTAGCATGTCCGGATCCAAGCTCGGCCATGCGTAGATCAAAATGGGTCCTTTTCGGGACCACTCAAAACGTAATACGTTGGTACAACTACCTTGTCACATTAAAGGAATAAACATTTTAAGGAATAAAGGGTACCTTCTGAAATTCAGTGACGTTACAGCGAGCGATTGTATCTCACTCAATTACATGCAGATAAACAGGGACACTACGACAATACTCTTAGTGTTATTGGCCTAGTGTAAGCAAGTCTTGCAGGCTGACTCGCGACATCATCTACGCTCTGTTTAAACGCGCTCTGATTGATCGCATTACTGTAACTTCAATCTCGATTATCTCAAAATTTTGATATATGAAATAAAAAATGAAAATATACGTATTCCTTAGAATTTGACAAGGAATACAATGATGTTACTACAGTGCGTTTCATAACGAACACCCTGTATAAATGTATAATACAATTACCAACTAAAACCGTCGCATGCGACTAGTGCCCCAGGGGTAGCATTTTCAGAAGTACTATCGCACTATAAAGGTAAATCGTCAAGGCCGGCATCGTTGAGATCGCCATACTGAATTTGGCTGTGACGCGTGGTTACAGATTCATCATCAAGCTCGCTTTCGATAGAACCCCCTTTTTCGGTGTCGAAACTTCTGTTGGAGTTCAAACACACGATACCTTGACAATGTCCACAAATCGCAGCACATTTTTAACCAGGTTTCCATTGCTAACCACAAGATGAAATACATCCCTTTTCATAATTGGATAACATTAATGTGAGCACAGAATCTGGAGCAGGAGCCTTCATTTTTCGAACAAGTGAAGGAAATCATGGACTTTCTTCCAACCTCAGATTTCGGGAGATTTTTCATATCCACGGCATATCTGGACTTAACACTAAACATATCGACAATTTTTTATAAACGTATTTTTGGCTTTAAAAGGGTCAAATCACCCGTCGATGGTACGATTAGTGTTAATGATAGACACGAAACGAATGTTGCTGAACTGCTGCAGCCGTAGGCAACAACGCTGGATTTGTTTTACTCTTGCACGCGAATTTCCTGAACAATTGACAACGTCGTCGGTTCAAAGATGTTTCACCAGCAGGAGCATTATACACAACAAAGAAAAAAGATACTTCAGCGTCAGCGATTTCATCATGAGTGGTATTAGCGGCGTTGAAAATTCTTACGATATCTTGCAAATCATCTCGCTGCTCTAACAATTTCAAACATTTTCGTTTACCTTTTTGGAAAAGACATGACGTAGTATCGCACCCAGTGGAGGCATGTGCAAATAAAATTATATGCTGAAATCCTTTATGCGATTGCAGATGTTTTGAAAAATAGATTTTTCTAGGAATTGTGAAGATGTCGACCCAGCAGCCAAGTGAAATAAATTGTTCGTTCAGTTTTTCCTTTTCCTAGTTTGATGAAATAAATATTTCTTTCCTGTGGAGTCAATGCAGTTAATAGAACGAAAAGATCGATGTCATCGGCAACGATGACAACTTTCGCAGATGAAGATAATTTTATTGCTGTCGTGACAATAAGGGGTATTAGCATCGCCTTATGCTTGTCTAACATCAAATTCTTCATGTTGAAATCTCTCTATCAACCTTAAAGTCAATCAAGTCAAAACTTTTATTGTTCTACTGTACCGACCATAGTAGCATCAAAGAGTATGTTGGTGCTTATATGTTTTACGGAACGACGATGCTGCTCAGTGTTTTAAACGCTGGTAGAGCTATTGGTATATCCGTCAAAATCGATCAGGGATCTGGCTCTCAAATTCTTTTTCGTGTAACTTATATGTATATGCTGCGCAAATGGACTCGTATGTCTGATTTTGATACAGCTTCGTGTCACGTATTTTTCAAATTTGAATATTACTCAGAAAATGTTAGTTAATAACTTGATACGTATGCTTAAATGGAAGAGATTACAAAAATTATTTTATAAACGAGTTTTTACATTTATTTTCAACGGTTAAGTAGAACACGAAACATCAAAGTAGGTTATAGTGGACTCAAAATAGGTTGAAACGGAAAATGATAGGACTCATAGGTTTAAAGCAGGAAGAGGTCAAGTCGAAGAGAAGCAGAAGAGGCTTTGTCTGGTACTATAAGATCCAATGTAAGTTTAAAATTTCGATTTGAGTCTAAACGTACCAAAAGGTATACACATAATTCTTACACTACATTATGTACCAAAGAATTTGTGTATGACACTGTTAGTTTATCATAATTTATATGTTTACAGATGCAAATTGGAATTATGCTATTTTTCAGTATACCAAACCATTTGTGGGCCATATTTTTATTCGTATAAAAATGCAAATGATGTTTCAGTTTCTGCCATAAAATACAGATTATTATTCATTTATTTGTCATGACTAAAATAAATATGTACTTTCTGCTTGCATTATATTTTTCTTTCATGTGCGAATATACCGTTTACTATTTTACTTTAAATTATATTGCTGCTCACCATTTATTTGCGTGTTGTACGTTTCGTAGATCTAATACCTGCCTTTTCAAATTGATGACATGTTACATATCTTTATCATTGTTATTACTTACTTTTTTTCTCAACCCCTTTTCGATGCCTAAAGTTTTCAATCGCTCTACTGTTGGGCTGAACAATAAGCTGTGCTCTGAATTCCAGACCGTTTGAATTGTTCTATTGATTAACAAGTTTCACCTATTGCTGACATATTCAGAGGAATACTTATCTCATACCCGGGAATAGATATATTTCCATCAACTTGCAGAGCTTAACGTTCCACTCAGTCAATTGATGTTTTTGATCTATGTTTCCATTCAGATAGAATATTCATGTTACAAAAGGTCTGACATTACAAATTTCTTCTGTATCGTATTGTTTGAAAGACATTTGATTCTGCTCTCACGAATAACTAAGCAAAAAAAGTTGGATCGACTTCCGCTCCGTAACTGGTATTTGAGGTGTAAGATATTTTACGTCTTTTCACGGTCAAATGTAATATTGTACGGCACAGGGTAGGAAAAACACAGGCTCGAAAATTACTTAAGGAAAAAAACAGTTTTACAAATTTTTGCGAATCTTTAGATCATGTATTAAATATAATAATGTATAGTACAATAATTCATAAAATAACAGTATACACAAAACAGGTATATATCTACATCTGTAAAAACACAACTATCAAGTCATTGGCTAGAGCAACTGCACGCCGGCATAACCTAAGATGTTCGCTTCCTCTTTTACCACCATAGAATGATATCCAAAGAATTCAATCAGAGACGTTTATCTTTTCAAAAGGCTTTTAGTTTCACCGCATGATAACCACAGTGTTCTATCCTATTTATATATACCAATCCTACTCGTCGTTCGTATGTATATACGTAGTAGGATATTTTCGCTACTATCGAATAACATTTCGTGCAAAATGCTGTAATTTACAAAATTTTACGGACGCGCTGAAAGCAGTGCAGATATTCTGTCGCGAAAAAATTAACCGAGACATTCATACCAACTTATTGTCTTATTCAATTTATTGTCGTTGTGTTTTTAACGATAGTTTAATTCACTTGTATAGACGGAGTAGCTCACAATCAAGTGAGTACAAAGCGAGGAAATATAAGAGAAGAAAACTGTAGTTTGTATATATCTGTCATATCCATTGGAATGACTCAGAGTTTTGAGACAGATGACGATTTAATTAAACAATAACTTTTCTAAATATATGTATCTCGGTTAAGAATTATTTGAGTGAGAAGAGCTGCGTTTGTATCATGGCTATCGTAATACGAGTCTATTAATTTTTAATCAAAACTGCTTTCAAATTTTCCCAATTTTAATCAGGTTATCGGATCATTGATTTCTGTTTCTTTCCCTGCTCGATTGCCTTTCCCTTTTCGCCAATTTTCTCTTAGTGCAACTATTTATCACATTCGGCAGATATAATTTTCTACGTACATAGGTTTAAAAAAAAAGTTTTTCAAATTTTGCTGGAGGTAATGTTCAACTTTCAATGATGGTAGTTATAAAAGTAATAGATAATCTTCCGAGAGCATTTTACCAAAATCATACTAGAAACGGGAACATGTATGTACATTCAATTTAAATTATTATTGCATAATAAAGTCTTTAACTCAGAAAGAAATGTTACATTGATAAAAAAGGATCTGAGGATAACCTTCAATACTCAAAACAATTGTAGTGATCTCACTTGCTCACTTTCAGTAACGCAGGAAAAAAGGTGTGATATGACGATGCTAATCATTGAATAAGTCATCATTGATCATTAAATAATAGTGACTTCCTCGTAACAGCGTTTGTTCGCAAACATTATAAAGAATAGAAATAATGAGGATGAACTAAGAAAGTTAAATATAAAAGTTGATTCTATTACGTATTAAATTGTGAATAAAATTGTCCTACTCATAGTACCGTAATTTCATTCACAGTTCCAAAGAAGTCGTTAAGTGTTTACAGTTTTTTGGCTTTTCCACATATTTAATTCCACTTTACTGTATTAGTTCCTGATTGGCTTGGCTAATGTACCCGCACGTACACTTTGCTTTAAATGTGTATATGTATAGACAATCGATGTGTAAAATGTGAATTTATGAGATTCGTTTATATATAATAAACTCCTTCGAAGTAGATATCCTTTAATGTACATTTCACTCACTCGCGAACTTTACATTTACGCCTTTGATTTGAAGGGACTAAAGTATAAGTGCAAAACGTGCTCAGTAGTAAACTTTTTGTAGATACTTAAAAATGCAGTGTTCATCCTCTTTATTTCTATTATTTACGTTACACAGGCACTTAAGATTATGACTTATTAGTTGAAAGTAGATCACTCAACTACCGAGAGGGACGCATGTCTCTTTTTTTTATTAACATCTCACAACAAGTCTAATTGAACGATTTTACGACGAAACTTTATATTTTATCTAGCGTCCGTAAAATCACCGCCAAAATCGTCTCACATTACTGAGATTCAGCCTAACCAACCATATTCTATGCGCACATTCTATTCATTAAATATAGGCAAAAAATAATTCCACTTTCTCTTACGCTATTTTCAAGACTGAGTAACATGTAAAAACCGTGTTATCATACAGTGATGCGCACAAACTGACACTGTGCCGTTCCTGCAAGTCATTTCGAACGCTAAATAATATGTTCCCGTGTTTACGAACCTTGTTCACGGTACGCTGTATTCTGTAATAGCAATCGTGTAACTTCGTGGCATAAAAATAAAATACATTATTAAAAAAAAAGATTATTCTCATCCAATGTTTGAACCATATTGGTTTACAAAAAGAGACTAATCCGAGGACGGTCTAAGAAGACGCGGCAACTTCCTGTGTCTGCGTTTGTGCGCGCGTATTAATGAAAAAAAGTAACGTAATGAACGTACCAGATATACTGAACAATTAACATAGGATTGAGTCGAAACAAATTATACTCTTTCAGGGAAGCATATATGTATAGTCACCAAGTTAACATGCGTGCAAACGTAGGAACGATCTTGCAAATTAACATAGGAATCAAGCAGTTCTAAAGGACCTTAGGGATTCTTTAAAGAGATATAAGATAGAGAAGATGAAATCAATGCATTATCAGGAACTGAGAGCGTGAATGAAGCGCACCGAGTCTCAAAGAAGTAAAATCGAGCTACACGATATATAATATAAATGAATTTGCCACAGGATTGTGGAACAGCTCCCGCTCCGTCCTATGGCCAATCACAGAGGGGCCTCACAGATCATCTTGCCTATCGCAATTAAGCCTCGCTCTAAATTGGTTCACGAATATCATGGAATTTTTGAATATCATGAAATGCGAGAACCAATCTGATAGATCGGCCAAGTAGTTTGCTAACTAAAACTTAGCTACTACGTTTTTCGTGTCTACATTTCATGCGAGGCAAGATCGCTGTTAATCTAAAGCTACAATGCGTACTTTATTAATTATCTATTTATGTGTACGTGTATATGTGTGTTGCGTATATGGCCTTGTTATGTCTTTCGTATGTGTCAGTTAATTTGCATATAGTTACCGCAACCGAAATAGTAAAAAAAACAACATCACTGACCAGGGTAATGTTAAAATTGAGAGCAGCGATAATGGTAACAGTATTTAAATGTAGTATATGATACTGAAGCTGATCACGAGAGCGGTTTCATAATAAGTAATAGTAATAAACTGCATCAAAAGCGTGTAAAAAAAAGACAGAGAGGAAGAGAGATCGTGCTCAGTTTTATTAATCATATTCCGGTGTCAAATATTAAAAACGAAACCAAAGCAAATGACCAGGTATGTTTATACCAATTTTATAACAGGAGCTTGTAAAGAGCGTTTGGCAAAATAATTATTTGCAAACATGAGTTATACAATAACTACTTAAGAAAAAGGTATGGACATTTAACGAAATGTATAAAACACAGCACTTTTTTTCAATATCAATAATAACAGTAGATTGAGTTGACGATGATATATACCGAACTAGCTAAACATTCTTTCATATAATGATCTTACAGCGTAGAGAAATATATGTTTCGCAATCCTCAGTATTTGGACAACATAGAAACGCTATAACAAACAGCTGTATCCGTTTGAATTTTATTAAAGTTCTTCTCATCACTGAATTTAAAACCAGTTGAATTTTCTGTATCATTGAACAATACAATGATGTCTACTGTTGAAAAGTTTAGGCAATTGACTCTAAATAAAATATGCAATTTTCATGTAACACACATAATCCTGTATTAATTACTTTCTGAGAATGTAAGTCCTAATCACGATCAGGTAATTCGATGCTTGCTTACTGCCTGAACCTTACGTTCTGCCATTATAATATGTCTTTCCAAATCGAAATTTACGTTTAAACATTATAAGCATTACTCATGATTGTTTGCTTAACACTCTTTAAGAATTGATTAGAGATATCATTCAGGATGATTTGAGCGCACGCGTCAAAGGACACTGAGAAAATGCATCAGAATTATTTGTAGACGAGCACGAACCAAATCACGAAACTCAAGAGAATAGCTCGAATGGCCAACTTCTAAATCTGAGTGTTTGTGTTCACCATTATCTCTAACTCAATGATTTCATCCATTATAGCCATTTTGAAAAATTGTAAGGCATTTAGTGAAGGTGATGGCGGTAGCACTGATGGTAATAGTAGTGTATCGTGTCATTGAAGTGGCTGCGACTGTGAAAAGCGCAGCACAGCGATACTTCTGATCGTTTCAAGTAGCTCAGTGGCAAGGCAGCTTGAGGCAGTCTATTAGGCAGGACCAGAAGATGTCTGATTTTGCTCGATGATCTCTTGAATACTGACGTAGGTACCAGTGACGAATCCCAAGATGCCAAAGCAAATGATGGCAATGTTTTTCCACAACCTCCAGTTAAACCTACCTAAACCGTTTTCCTGTTCCCAGACAGTGACTAGCTCGATTAAAGAGGGAAACATAAGACCAAGGGTCGAAAGACACACGGCTCCGACGAGAGATATAAACGGCCCAAGATTTGGTATGGCAATGGCGACGCCTACGGTGAACACTACAAAGACGACACGCATTACGTACTCCGCCAAAAGTTTCCTCGATCCAAAATACTGCTTGATGTTCTTCCAAATAATTTCCATTGGCACATAAAATTGTAAACCATAGGTCAAGAATATCGCAATCGCAATCATAACTTTCACCGACTGCGCTAAAACTTCATCCCGCGGGAGATTGAGCGTAATTGAACCTTCCGTAGCGTCTCCGTATTTTACGTAACCAAAGAAACCAACTCCAGTGTATAATAAGACCACGCAGAACATGCCAATATTCAATACTCCAGGACATCCGATGAAATGCGTGGGTGTCTTCATGTTGTTCTCCAATGGCATCACCTAGAAATTATCAAAATTTCTTTTAAGTCTTAGAATTCCTTTGTTTTTAAGATGAATTAAAAATTGATAGTTATAATATTCGTTATCAATGAGCTTCCAAGTTTAAAGCTTTGCAAATTTATCGAAATGAACGCTCAGAAAAAAAGTTTGATAAATAATGATAGATTTTAAAATCAAAGTGGAGAACGTTCGGTAAAAGTAATTTAATTTTCTGAATAATATATGATAAGAAAACTTGTTCTGAAAAATGGTGAGTTGACATTCAAAAATTGATACGCATAACTATATGTATATCTTATCAAGCTATTGCATATATATTTTTATACAACTGATTGAATTTCCATAATACGTTTATCTTATTTTTAACTACTGTTCTTGGCGTGGTCGTGAATTTTTACAAGTTCCATGTGATCCATCCACGCTTGATGCGATGATGATTTTTCGAAATTTTAATAATAGTGCATAGCAAATGTTTTATTTAACAAACGTTTCTAATGAAAGTTATATTTTCGCGTCACGATTTCAACACTTCGCAATTTGAACAAATTTGAATAATCCATCAGCAGAGAAATCTCTGAATCGTTATAACACAATACAGAAAGTTCACAACTATGCTTTTAATTGGAAACAATATCGTACGTATGTATATGTAAATGCAAGAGTGTTAAATCAATACTTACAACACCGATGCCTTCAAGAGCGAAAATAGCTGTTCCGAAAAAGAGGGGCAACTGAGACCAACTAGAGAAGTTTGGCTTATCACCGATGCTTGGTAAATCACTGAAGATGTAGTAGAACGTGATACTAACTCCAACAGCAATCAGTACATTCGCCACCATGGAGAAGGGTGCCAAATACTTGAGGTTTCGCACAAGTGAAAAGATTATGAGAAATGGTAACAGCATGGCCATGTAGATCCGAACATCCCATTTGTTATCTGTATAGGCGCCAACTACCTGCTGAATGTTTGTGGATACAAAGACGATGTACACACAACAGCAGCCAATCAAATCGATTACCAGGAAAGAATTGATAGTTGCTCTGTTGAAAAGAAAAACATAGATCAACATTAATAATTTGCGATGCAAAACTCAGTTAATGTATAGCAATATAACACTTTCTTAAAAGTGCTACGAATGTAACGCAAATTGAGTATGTACGTCCAATAGAAATCTTACACAAATAAAAAAGACTTACTTCGCTAGCCTGGCGTATTTTTGCACAGGTTCAGGTCCGACAAGAAAGGCCGCTTCCGCGACGTCGGCAAATCCCAAACTGGGCGTTTGGGTTCGCCTACAAAGGGTATGCGCACATTTGACCAGAATGTGGACGCAATAAGTGCACACAGCACCGATGAAAAAAGTGGCGAAGAATCCGAATGCCAATCCTGCATTCTTAAAAGCAAGAGGCATGGCCAGTATACCGGTTCCAAGACTGCCCTTGAGTAGGTGAATAAGGGTATCCATATCCGAGGTCGGATGCGCCAGCTTCCGATGCTCGAATGGATCATAGAGAGCTGCCTCTTCGTCGTCGGGTCGTTCGACCAATGGTAGAGTCGAACCATTTGTAACCGTGATTGGAACATCATTTTTCTCACACTTGTATCTGTAAAACCACATGAATTAGAAAAAGCTCCCTAGATTCTCTGGAAGTGGCTCGGTTCCACGTATTATGAGAATACGCTCGGGGCCCGCTATACCTAAAACGCTCATCCTGATATTCGCAGGCTGATGTGCACACTATTTGCGAGGGCACAGATTCGAAACAGCAACATTCTCACATATGATTGGTCGTTCGATACTGATACATGGAACAAATGATTATGATAAGACGGTTTGGAGAATGATTGTGGTGTCGAAGCGATGCCGTACTGCATAGTGTTATTGGTTGCGCCGTTTGTGTGGATCGAGTCAAGATGGATCTTTCGTATAGGAGAGAGGATCGTGCATCTGGATATAAATGAGACATTATGCACAAACGTTCGATGTAACATTTAACACTGAGAATAATGGAAAATATGACCGGAACAACGAATATCAATAAGACTTTAAAAGCAATGTGAAGCAGCGTTTTAAAAAAATTTGTATACCATCTATATCCTCGATTTCACATTCACTGCGGAGGAAATTCCTGTCCCGTTTATATAACGTGAAAGTATTGATAATAATCACCAGTGAGCCATGTCATATCGAACATGATGACTCCAGTATATACAATTGTTGTTTTAAATATTGTTCTATATTGAAATTAATTTCAAAGAATGATAGACTCCCAGGAAAAATTATTGTTTCTCTACAGTGTATAATGGTAATCGTTATTATGAATATGAAAGATAGTGAACTAAGATCGAAATAACATGAACCTGGGTAAAAACAATTTTTAAACTTTTGATGGGCTCGTAACAATGAGTAATTCGAATGCCTTTTAATGTCATTCCACGTTACTTTGAAAACTTTGAAAACGGTAAAAAAGTTTCAAATGAATAAAAAATGTGGAACATAAGAAGGATACTATATGGTAAGGACTCAGAGATGTGTACGTTTATGTAGTCTCTTAATTCGAGTACAATGCCCGTATTACACAACCCATGAAAATAAATGACCGATATAACATTAAGAATTTCAATATATGATAATCTTGTAATTTAGAATATCTGACAACAAATGCAAAGTATCACATATTAAATTGATAAAACAGAAATTAGATCGAAAACTGGGTCGTGCAATACTGGCGACTTAGTTTCGACGTATATATCATCTTATAAGTTAACTATCTCGTGTACCTAGTGTATTATTTTATGGAAAATTCACGACATCGATGCAAGATGAATGATATTTATGATAGCATAATATTTCTATGATAAATGTGTCTGCCTGCCACCGTGTTTCAATGGTTCCGCCACATCCATTCAAAGTCTACCAGGCGTGTAGTATTTTTCGTTTCGGCTATATGAGGAGACACTACATTTTACTCATTCCATTTCTTGCCAATAGGCGTTCAAGAATTATAAGCAATTATTATCAGTTGAACAGCATCAGCCACACGGTGAATCTACTAATGTTAAATACTTCCATTGGCAAAAGGAAAATACGATAAAAGCATATGTGAAATATTAATTCAATTAAGTCAGAAGAATAAGATAACTTTTGTATGAGTTTTATATAATTAGTATCTGTTAGTCTTTTATCGTTATAAATATACAATAAATGCATATGCGATGGCATTTGTTATTTGCTCTAAAAATATTTTTTAAAAACGAAAAAAACTAACTTACATACCCGATTGCAATTATTCACAAGAATCGAATGCTTCACAATGTGCATACATCAAGATGGCAGATTAAGATAATTGTATTAAAAGCGTTTAACGACGATGAGGAAAGCTGTATGTAACCGCGAGCATTAATCGATTCTTAAAATGTCACCAAATTATAACCGAAACTGTAAAAGGAAACGTGTATACTTGTGCATGAGCGTTTATGTTTATGTGTGCTATGTGCCTCTTACTTATCCGTGTGTAAGTTTTAAGGTATTTTACATATGGTTATAGATCGTAAAGGTAGGTGTGTAGGTACCCGTTGAGGTGCGGTAGTTTCTCTCCTTAGGTGTGGAGCTTTCTGTCGAGAAAGCCCTGAAAGAGTCTGTGTCACGTGACACGTGGAACACGCGTGAGCTGCAACCACCGCACTGCATCACCGACGCCCAGCGCCACGACGCAGTACGACGACTAACAAGCCGTGTTTACATAACATTGCGCTTCACAAAAAGGGTTACACATTCATCGATTAAATACCATTAGGTTTTCGGTACCAGCGCGGCACTAATTTACATACCTCAAGTTCAAACCAATTGAAAAGACATTGACATTTCAACTAGAAACAAAAAAGACACTCCAAACTATAACAGTATGGCAGTGCAAATGAATTGGCGAAGCAATGCGCGCGACAACTTTGATTGACATTTTCAGGCACGATAGATATATGAAGCATTTTGCATATGAAAGTACACATATCACACTGTGCAAGTCTTTAGTTGCACTACAAATTTTCGAAAAAATATTCCATATGATGTACGCCAGTTCGATTATTTTATAGATTTTATTTTAAATTGTACACATATAAACAAATATTAAATAATCATTCCTGCTAAGGAATTACGAACATGTAAGCGAATTATCAACTTTCTAATGTAACTTTTCTTATGGTAAATCTAGAACAAGGTATGAAAATTAATTCGCGTGGGTATGAAGTTATTATAGTCTGAGTCAAGAAGTTTGTCAGTTGGTCTTGTTCGGTCGTTTCACTCGTTTCAATACAACTTTGACAAACTTTAATATTTCAATCGTTTCATTTGATTTTTAATATCTTTATCTTTTGATCGCTTTGGCTGAGCTACGGTTTGCTTTTCGACACTTCGTTGTGCTTTCGGTTAATACTCAGAGCACTTTCATAGAGCCCGAATCAATGCCCGGACTCTATACGCACGTCTGGAATCATATAAATGCACATATTATACAGTAAAGACAGATTCTTTATGGATTATTAATCAATTTTGGTGGCATACCGCATGATCTCTAAGGAGTTTTTTCAGCCAACGAGGAAGACCCCTTCGCGACTCTATCTTATCTAACAATTTCACACGTATACAGGGAACCCATTATCGCTTTGCCGTATATAATTGTGTACGCGAAGGATATTTTACAATTCAACACTGATATTAAGTAATAACTATTGACAACTGTTACAGATCATATGATCTCATATAAAATTATGCGTTGGAAAATTTGTTCGTTAGTCTTCAGGTGCACAATATATTAATGAATCAGTGACACTCGAGCTAATTAGAAGAAGCAATGCTGATTAGCTTATAAATTGTTATCACTTTCGGCAAGTATGAACTTATACAGCTTGATTCTCTTTTCTATTTCGAAATTCTTATGTATTTTTCAAAAGGAAATCCTCCCTCCACCCATACTCTCTTCTAATCGTTGACGAATTTCTCCTTACATCTAACAGCTGAACTTTAAGCGATATTTTTTGCGAGTATATTTATATTTAATTCCCTATAAACGTTTCTCATTTCACTAATTGTAGCAGTTAAGATAGTATTGAAGAGGTTAAAAAGGTTCGCCAGTTTAACACTAACTTTTACCGTCTTAGGTAACTCATTCTTTAGCTGTAATTTTTACTTTTTTATTACCATCTGCATATCATAAACCTATTCATTTATAAATGTCGTTATAAGATTTGTTATATCTCTCCTAATAAATAATCGAAATACCAACAGCGAGCTATTTCCATTGCTTTAAACAATATACAAAAGACGGATTATAAAGTGATGCGAATAATGAAGAATAAACAGGAACAATACAGTATGAAATATTATAAATTCTAAATGCGTTCTGTTTAATGCATTTACCGCACACAATACATAAAAATTATTCGACAACTTATCATCAATTACATGAATGGTATGTTGCAAACCAGTGGCGAAATCCGTAAAGTAGCGATATGAAGTCGTCGTTTAAACTCAATAATCGTCCTATTTAAAAACTTTTAACTTGAATTCTATTGTTATCGAACGTTTGCAAATAAATCGCTTCATGTATGCGATACTGTAAAATATATCAACTTGATGTGAATAATTATTCATATCTGATTATTAATTTCATTAAAAATCGTGTTCTAGGGAATTATTTGTTTCATATTAAATAAAATGTTACTATATAATATTAGGTGCAAGTTATAGGAATACCTATTATAGCAAAAGTTTGAACTCTGTTTCAAGATGATACAAAACGTAGAATACTACTTGAAAAATGATATTTTCTTGCTAAATAAAACAAATTCATTTAATTGTTATGCCACTGGTGCAAATTTGATAACATTCATGCATGAAATAAGGAAAGCTCAAAAGCACGAAAATGCTTCAAGAATTGCAGTTTGGTCGAACGATAAGCAGTAACGAATAAAATTTGAGGATTTATTTTCTATCGGGTTAAGAGCAGCAGCAGCCTTTACACTATAATAATTGTACGAGCACTATTTTAATACTACTATACCGTGTCAATAAGGAATAAAGAATAAGAGTCGCTATCCCGAATTCACTGTCAGATCATTGAGTGTCTGTTCATTTAAATACATTTGACAAAAAAAAATCAACTTGGCTCTCAGGACTGACAATGAATTTTGAAACACATAAAATGTCAAATGTCGAATGCGAGAACGGACGCTCTGGGATCGGAGGAGATCGACACCATACCGCTAAACCAAAGGCAAGCCATCGAAAGCTAATTTCATAAGCGGTTCAACGTCTCGCAAGGAATGAGAATTCATGAGAACATTTAACGACATGGCGACGAGCGTCCTCGGTAAATCGGTTCGCTGAAATTTACCTCACAGGTGATCAGGCAGTATGCGAGTAATATAGAAAACGAAATAGGTACGAGAAACAGAAGGAAAGAGAAAGACATACGGAATAATGCATAATATATGATCCTCGGGAGTCACTCACGTTTGCTTGAGCACTGATTATTTGGGTTTGGCAAGAAAGCAATGGTGATGATTGGTCGTAGAAGTAGAGTGAATCGCTCGACTATCGTTGACCGTTTTCTTTCTTTCGCGTCGTTTTCGTGCTTTACGAAGGTAGACACTTACTTGACGAGAACCATGTCTGATAGTTCTGTTTTCACCCCGTGCTTCTTTGGGTCGTATTCTGCTATCATCGGGCGCATGGGTGTTCTCTGTAATCATAAAACAATCTCACGTTAGCGCGTACTGTTGTATCGTATATATTTATATTCTTAGCCCGCCACTAGTCGCATGGAGCCTCAATCAGCCCAGCCATCGAAATTGATAGGTACGCTAAAATAGAGTCTCGCTATATAAAGGAATATCATGTCTTTCATAAGGACCCAGAAATATGTTAAATTATGAATTTTTTATGACTATTCACACTTTTCATCTGTCTTGACACTGTCATATAAATTTAGGAATTTATTGCTCAGACTTTGTTTTTTGTGCTTGAAACTGAATTCTTATTTCCTTTTACCGTGTGGTAGCTAAGACAAACTGTTAGCTGTCATGCCAAATTTACTAATTGTTTGAATTTCTTTGAAAAATGAAAATAATTCACTGACTTCATGACAACAATACGTTACAAAAAATTGAATTCTATACATTTATGTGTATCATTCAATGTATATAACGTTATTTTAGTAGAGCAATTTATCATTTCTTTAAAAAATTTCGACTGCGGTACACATTTTATTAGAAAAATATTATAACAAGGAAAAGAAGAAAATAAAGTTGAATCTGAATGAAAATTTTAAAGCAAAATATGTGTCAGTCATAATAATTTTGTTTTGGGCCAAAAATTAGAAGTGAACTACGTTCAAAGTAATATTAACCATAACACGTGAATGATCGCTGGTAGTCGTTGATAAGGAGCTCATCTCAACATCATAACCGCTGTCCGTATTGCCCATTTTGTATAAGATATTGATACACTATTTCATGCACTTTTTTATGGGATGCACCGTTATTATTAATAGGCAAATATTTATCGAGGGAGTTTTGAAAATTGCCCTTTGGCGGATGTATCAATATAGGCTTCACCTAGGCATCATTTATTACTTTGACACTTAATGAGTCTCTTCTACGTTCTCACTTTCACTTGTAGCATCCCGTGCAATTCACAAATATTTACACAAAATCGCTGTCCCTAACGGACTCACCCTCGCGGCCACTAATTATCAATCATATAAGCATTCAATATTTATATTACGAAATTAAACTCGCTAGCATTAATTAAAGATTTAGGTAAACGTCCCTCAATTTGAACATGATGCATAAAATAGAAGAGAAAGGGAATAACTGCTGGTTGGCTGACCGGTATGTTGCATATTGTTACGTGCACCGTTCATTTCGTATATTTTTTGCAATTAAGAGAAAATGAAATCAACTAAAAGAGGGGGATGAGCCATCGATGTTTAATATCAAGATTCGTAATTGGATCAAAAGTCGACGGTCTGGCGAACGGATGTGCTGACGATGCTCGCGCTTCGAAGCTTATGCAAGAAATCGTTGATAATTTCTAACGGAGTTCTAAGCACGACTGAGACTACGACTATGACTATTACTATGACATTCGTGTAGCGTCGCGACGCAGAAAAGCACGAGTCGCTGCCAAACTGTTTGAATATTTCGAGGACGCCTCCTTATATACTCCGGGAGCGAAAATAGGAAGAGCAAATGGACGCGACGCCACCACCGTAGCTTGACCGACGCTCACGTGAGGATCGCTAGTGGAATCCGACGCCAACTTAACCCGAACCAAACATTAAACGAAAAAAACTCTTTGGCAATAATAATATGTGTCCATATGTTAAGTTCTTCAATACAAACTGATACTATTTCGCTAGAGCTCTAATTAGTTTGGAAAACTCTTCTGCATCTAAAAATAAACTGCCTGATATTACCTGCACGTTATTTCATCGAAATCCTTTTTTCATTCATTTCTCATACATAATTTTTAAGATAACGATGCAATTCGCGCCAAACAGATTCCACCGTATCGTACATGGCACAACATTTTCATTCTTTTACTTGATTCAGCCTTTTCCTTAAATTAACATCTGTTGTTAACTCAAAATTATTTTTAATTACGATTGTATATCACTGAACTAGCTGTGATTGCTTCTCTTTGTAACTTTTAGTACTCATTTCTGTTAAAAAAAAATTAAAAAGAAATTACAAAATAAAATGTAACGCGAACTGTGCATTATAGCGTGATGTAATACAGAATACACTGAGTTCAGAGAAATGTGGAGAACAGATGTGAGAAAAAAATTAAATGTGAAAAAACACCGCGTGCAGTCTAGTTTTCTTTTTCTAGTCTCGAAAAACAATGACTTTTATGCATATATATTTTTAATATAATCGAATAAAAATTATGTCCTTTTTTCAGCTTATAACAGATTGAAATTGTATTTGTAATTGTTTATACATGAAATATACATAGAGATTAAATAATTCACATTACATTTAATAATATTGTATCGACACGCATTGCTAGTTTGTAGTTAGGCTTCAGATTGATACAAAATTTAATATTTACTGGATTTGCAAGAAAAATTTGCACCAGTGCCATATTTCGCATATCACAGATGAATACTAAATCAATTTGATGTTTCATTCGTTAAGTAAATGCTAATAAACTACACACAACAGATGGTTTGACTAAATATTGCTAACGCACGTAAGCATTTTGAAATAGTTATTAGAATAACTATGATTTGCAACTCGGTATTATTCCTTGTGACTTTCAATTTTTCCACTTTATTCACGGAACACTTGGATTTACTTTAGAAGTCTTTATTACATTATATTTCCACTTTAGATTGCATTATTTTTTGTGATGGCATACGTCCATTGACGTCACATACGAGGAAACGGCTGCATTTCCAACTGAACGTGGATGCAATCATTTATATGCATGAATATGAGACATGCATTGTCGATAAAATTACAATTATAGTGAAATAAACAAAAGAATGTATTATCGCTGTATACCGCGTATATACTATATTAAAAGATTTTGAAAATTCTGAATCATGAAAATCGATGCAGAAATGATGAAAATTAGTACCCAAGCATTTCATGGTATTTTAACGAATCCTTTAATAATTTGTTTCCTCTACACCTATGACTTACGACTGGCCAACTTTCCCATGTTTGCCAACGCATTTCAATGCTACTAAAGTATATATTAAGTTTCGAAATTTGCGTACATTCCACCAGTTGTACAAAAAATATACATATTTAAAGTTTCTGAACGATACAATGACCTCAGTGCCAATTACTGTTTTACTTTCCAGAAATTTGATTGTAAATATAAATTTTTTTAATCTTCGGTTTTTAAACATTTATTTTATTATTTGGTACACAAAAAATCACATAAAGTGACAAAAAGACTTGTGCGTTCGTAGTGAGTCTTATGGAAAATTACAGTAAACCAGCTATTTTGTTGGCACCGCCTCTGAAACCTAAGTTTTGATATAGCAATATAGTAAACTACTTTGACAAAGAGAACAACCAGACATGAATCAAAATTTTACTCAGGAGTTAATTGTGGTGTTAACGAGTGTCAACATTTCCATATAAATGACGAAGTAAAGAGCTTCTAGATTGAACAGATCGGACATTTTACGGAATCAAATTAAGTGAATTAATAAGAATAAGGAAATTTAGCGAAGATTATTGTATCGATAGTAGTTACTCTTAGTTATAATTTATTATGCCATTGTACGTATTAAGTATGAGCATTGAAATAAATAAAATTAAATCAGTAGCATTATATACCAAATTATATAAAGCTGAGTAAAGAATGAAATGTGCAAAATTAAAAAACAACAACGGAACTCCATATTTTGTACTTTGAGTCGCTTTTGCAAGTATGTAAAGATTAATAATGTTCCACATTTCCAAAACTATTTCCAAATATTTTTCGTTTCACAACCGTGGTAAAGCCGCATTGCTATGGTCCTAAGTTAGGATGTCCCTGGGAACTACCGAGAAAACCAGGATGACGAACGGACTCAGTCTCACACTAGGATCCTGGTACGAAAAATATAAACGTTGTAATCAGGTAATATGTCTTTGGAAACAAACGACTTGCAGTTGCATCTGAAATGATGAAATGCAATAATGTATATACGAAACAGTGAAAACTCACAATAACGGGACCGTATCTAAAGTAAAAGATAATTAGTGCAACTTGATATTAAAAGAACTCACGAAGAGTATTGGGCAAGTATCATCGCTGGCCAAAATATGCGTTTTGTTTACACCTGATTATAGAACATCAAAGTTACGTAATAAGCGCCCCTCACCCCGTGGTAAGGCTTATACATATCTCACAGAGTATATCGTGGGTGTGTCGACGACGGACCTAAATTTATCCGTTCCGTGCAAAAATAAGCTCTTGCAATTGCGTCAGACTTTCATACTTATTTTCCGCAGGGACTGCTGATCTCTACCAAAAGCAGTTGATCTATGCCAAAGACTCTATCTAACATCAAAATTCAGCGAAGTTAATACCGAAACTGCCATTACAGTAAATATATTTAGTAAGTTGTTTCTTCTGATGTAGATCTACCATAATCATTAAATCATATGAACGTCTTGTACTTATCAGTCATTGACAAATAAATTATCTTTAAACGCACCATGATAAGAAATTGAAAATCTTCGAATTCATCATCGACGAATTGTCATCCAAAGGTTTCAGTAAATATTCCAAGAACATTCCTCGTTATTATTCCAGATAAATTATTTTGATAGGAATCTCAGTCAATCGATAATTCTGCTCGCTGAGGCATATTTATATATTGTCGTAGAACGTTTCAAGTGAACGACTTTAAAATAAGTATAAAGTGCATCTTATACTTTTTTAGTATTTATATTCCTTGTATATTAACGTATTTAATAAAATGAGTAAGTTCACTGCATCGATCGAAACACCTCAAAGTTACTATGAATGTAAAAAAGGCCAATCACGTGTGAAAGCCCTGAACAAATATACAGTGAGAACAAAAAAATAAGAATGTGGAAAG